AGAGGTTGAAGGTTGGCTGCAAGAGCAGGTCCAACTATGTTTAAGTTGCGTTTTTGCACCTTGTCTAAAAGAGGAAGGGCATCATTAGAAGAACTGCCTCAGATATGGCAAAAGTATTCCATACAATTTCTGATTTAATATTTATAGAGATAGAGAATAGAATCCAGAGTAAGAAAGTGTCGAGCTCAATAAAGAGATGCAACTTTTGCTGATACTAATTTTGCAACAGAATTGATATAAGGTTTTCAAGAAAGATCAGAAATAAGAGTTAATCATAAAAGATGAAGGGTAGATGACTCATCGAGTACATTACCTTTCATAAATATGGGAAGTTCTAACATATTGCAATAACGATTGGCTGAAAAAAAAATTGAGTTTTATCTGAATTAAAGTTCACCAGCCACTGTGAGCCCCATGCTGTAGCAGAAGTGAGATCCCTTTCAAGCTCAAATGCCCCCTGCAAGCAATCAGAGGGAGTTGGCTTCTTATCGTGACACGAATGAATGGTAGTATCATTAACAAACAATACCACCTTAGATGTGAGAATATCTGGAAGAGTTTTAATGTAAATTAAAAAGAGTATAGAGCTAAGGATTGAATCTTTAAGAAACCCCTGAGGTTACAGAATAAAAAGAAGAGTGCTGTCCATCAAGGACAACTTTTATACTACGATTGGAAAAAAAGGATTCAATTATCTTATAGATGTTTCCAAATACACTTCAAGAAGAAAACTTATGGAGAAGACCAGCATGCCAAACTTTATCGAACGCTTTAGAAATGTCAAGAGCAATGGCCTTAACCTCTCCACCTATATACAATGCATGATATAAACTATTTGAACTAGAACATTTAAAGAAAATAAATTTTCAGGAAAAGTAGCTAAAGTGGAATTAATTTGTTATATAAATGAGGACTGCGATTAGAGAGAGAGAGAGTTGAGAGTTGTTGTTTTTTTTTTTTTTTAAATACGGTAACGTTACCAGTTGGTCTAGTGTTAAACTTATTTTTAAGTGAATAAAAGAAGTTTTTTTTAAATTGTAATAGAACTAATCCCATTTTATATTTTAACATAAAAAGTATATTAGCATAAATATTAATTTGATAAATGTTTAGCACTTTCATTTCTTTTAGTAGAGGTTTAGCATGTATATATTTGTTTTTATGAATTATTGTTCTAAAAGCATGTTTATGCCGTCAATATAGAAACATTATTTTTGTGTTGTGTGTATTTCCCCAAGTTATCTGAGCGTATGTAAAATGACTATGTATAAACAAAAAGTAAAGAAATATGAAGTTTTTGTAATAAAAATGGTCTAGTTTAAAAAGTAAATCAAAATTTGTAGATATTTGAGAATTGATGGCCTATATTTAAGCTGTTCATGAAACGTTTTTGTTTATAACCACTACACAAAATTTACTTATTTGGGTTTTTTCAATATTGTTGAAATCAATATTTAGAGGAAAGAACCATTAAAAGTGTCTTTTTTTTTTTTGCTTTGAATGAAGTAAAACTTTTTTTGTACGTTTATAGATAACTTATTAGCACTGAACCATGTTTTAAGTTGTTAAAACTCAAGGTTGAGTTCGTCAAAAAGATAATCGATAAAATTGAAATCTGAAAACATTATGCAATCAAAATTTGATAAGGCTTTCGTAAGGTCATTAATGCATAAAAAAAAAACTCGGGGACAAGATTTGATCGCCGTAGAACACCAATCTTTATTTTTAATATCTTTGAATTAGAAATATCATCGATTATGACATATTGTTGTCTATTATTTAATTAGCTGGTTAACTATCTAATAGTTTTTGTTTTTTATATCATATTTTTTCTAATAGAATTTTATGGGTGACCGTATCGAAAGCTTTTGTATGGTCAATAAAGACTTACATTACAAACTGTCCTTTATCAAAAGATGAGCTGGTGTTGTTCATGAAGTCTATGATTACATGTTTCGTTAAATTATTTGAAATTAGTTGACTTTAGAATATTGAATAGTTGATTTATTCGATTATGGATTTTTTATTTAACGAATAAAGTTGATTTAGTTGAGTAAGAATATTAAAATGCTTATGTCTTTTTATTCGATTTACCTATTTGATTTATTAACTTTTCTTCAAGCATTTTATAACAATAGCATGTACAATTAAATCTATCATTCTTAAATCCATTTCAAAGCCTATTAAATTCTATTTAAGTTAATTTACTTGTTTTAGATAGTTAATAAAATTCAAGAAAACATGTCAAAGCAAGAAGATTTAATAAAACAGGTTTACGAGTTTATTTGAATAAAAAATTGCAAGGTAAAAAGTTCACAGTTCACAAAAGATTACTTCAATAGTGAGCAAATTTTAAGAAGCACTCTCTATGATATCTTAAATGTGCTGAAAATGGTTCTGGACACAATTAAGGGAAAGGAAGGTGTCGTGTGACAAAATCTTTACCCCCAATGTGATCAAGCGTCTGAAAACCAAATTATAACCACATTAAGTTTCGATA